CCGAGTTGGAATCGCTGGCAGCCCAGACAAATTCTTCATGGTCGACGCATCCCTAAATCAGGCCGACAGACAGCAGCTAATCTCTTTCCTTCTCAGCAACCCCGTTATCTTTGCGTGGACTCCGTATGAGATGCCGGGTATAGATCCATCTATTTCGCAGCACCATTTGAATATTGATCCTAAGTGCAAGCCGATCATTCAGAAAAGCTGGCAGTCAACCGCAGAGCACACTGCCGCCGTCGTTGAGGAGGTTGACAGGCTGCTTAAAGCCGAGGCAATCAGGGAAGTGACCTACCCTACATGGCTCTCTAATACAGTGGTTGTGAAGAAGAAAAATGGGACTTGGCGAGTGTGCATCGATTTCACGGATCTAAACAAAGCCTACTCCAATGATTATTTTCTCCTACCCAGAATTGACCAACTTGTAGATACGACGACACACCATCAGCGTATGAGCTTCCTCAATGCTTACAGAGGCTACCATCAAATCGCCATGCATCCTGAGGACTAAGAAAAAACTACATTCCTCACCCCAAGAGGAACCTACTGCTATAAGGTTATGCCTTTTGGGCTGAAGAATGCGGGGGCAACTTACCAAAGACTGGTCACGGCTATGTTCAAGGAGCAACTCGGCTACACTATGGAAGTGTACATTGATGACATGGTGGTCAAGTCCAGAGAAGAGCAAACCCATCTAGCCGATCTCGAAGAGACGTTCGGCATCTTACGCAAATATAAAATGAAGCTGAATGCTTCCAAATGTGCGTTTAGGATTGGCTCCGGCAAGTTCTTGGGTTACATTGTCAACCATCGGGGAATCGAGGCCAACCCGAGGCAAATCACAGCAATCTTGGAACTCAACTCCCCTTGTTCAGTAAAAGAGGTTCAAAAGTTGATGGAGATGGTCGTCGCACTCAACAGGTTCATCAGTCGGTCTACAGATTGCTGCCGACAATTCTTTCATACTCTACGGCAGAACAAGGCTTTTGAATGGTCCGCCGAATGCGAAGCCGCTTTCAATGGCCTCAAGACTTACCTCCGCTCAGTACCACTCTTAACAACACCTGCTGTTGGTGACCCGCTCATTCTGTATCTAGTAGTTTCTGACAGCGCCATACTGATAGAGGAAGAGCTGGGGGAGCAACGGCCAATGTATTATGTGAGCAAGGCAATGGTTGACGCCAAAACACGCTACCTTCCGCTGGAAAAACTCATCCTAGCCCTAGTCATGGTGGCAAGAAAACTGATGCATTACTTCCAAGGACATAGCATTGGGGTGCTAACAGATTATCCCTTCCGATCAGTACTATGAAGTGCAGAAGTATCAGGACGTGTTTCAAAGTAGGCTCTTGAACTCAGCCAGTGCGACATTCAGTTTTTACCTAGAACCTCAATCAAGGGACAGGTGCTAGCCGACTTTGTTGCCGAATTCACAAGGGGTCTTGCCGATTTCAAGTCCGATGAAATTCAACCAGAGCCGGACTGGAGAATTTATGTTGGGGACATCTGGCAGTTGTACTATGATGGATCATCCAATTAGGGGGCAACGGAGCTGAAGTTGTGATCATGGCCCCCGACGGCGCAATAATTGAGCAGGCCGTCAAGCTCGGCTTCGACGCGTCAAATAACGAAGTCGAATATGAAGCCCTTCTAGCCGGTTTGCAGAATGCACATCTTTTGGGTGCTCGGCGTTTGGTTGTATTTTACGATTCAAAACTGGTAATCAACCAGCTAAAGGGGGAGTACGCAGCAAGAAACGATCGTATGGCGGCTTACATGAAAACGGCCAACTCCTTGCTGGAAAAATTTGACCATCATGAATTGAACCAGATAACACGTGATCAGAACACACATGCAGATGCCCTTGCCTGCCTAGCCTCCGCCATTAACTCAGAGATTAAATAGATCATCGAAGTAGGTTTCATCCCGGAGCCAAGCATCAGCCCTTCGAAGGAAGTCCAGGTCAATGTTATAGAATCTGGACCAAGTTAGATGGATCCCATTGCTGCAATCTTGTCTTCCGAACAGCTCCCAAAGGACAAGATAGAAGCGCACAAGCTGCAAAACAAAACCCTACGATACTACTTGGATCCGCAAGGAAGGCTTTATAAAAAATCCCTCTCTGGTCCATATTTGGAATGCGTGCACCCTGAAAAAGTCGAAGAGCTTCTGACTGAAATACATAAAGGCAGTTGTGGTGCCCATTCTGGCAGGCGATCTTTGGTCCATCGAACTATAACACAGGGGTATTACAGGCCGACAATGAGAGCTGACGTTGAATGCTATGTGAAGAAATGTGAACAATGTCAGAAGTTCTCCCCGCTAACCCACCTACCCGTCGAAGAGTTGAGCTCCATTATCAGTCCCTGGCCGTTCGCCCAGTGGGGGCTTGACATCGTAGGACCACTGCCGAGGGCCCCAGGGAACAAGCAGTACTTGATCGTCGCGACAGATTACTTCACAAAATGGGTCGAAACAGAGGCATTAACACACATTCGAGATGCTGATGTTAAGCGCTTTGTATGGAGAAATATCATAACACGATTTGGCATTCCAAGAGCTCTTATCTCAGACAACAGCACCCAGTTTGATTGTGGCGTCTACCGAGAGCTGTTCAGCAAATATGGTATCCGGTCTTACTTTTCTACGCCGGCTTACCTACAAAACAATGGTCAAGCCGAAGCCTCTAATAAATCCATCTTGGACGGCGTCAAGAAGAGGCTGGAGAAAGCTAAAGGCAAATGGGTCGAAGAATTGCTGAGTGTATTATGGGCTCATCGAACTACGCCGAGGCGATCTACTGGAGAAATGTTGTTTGCTCTGTGCTTTGGAACCCAGGCGATCATACCCTTGGAGATCGGCCACCCAACCCTAAAATCTCAAGTTTTTGATATGGGTCGAAACGGCATGATGCTGGCATTGGATTTGATTCTAATCGAAGAACGAAGAGACCGTGCCCTTGCGTCGATGGCGCAGTACCAGCAACAGCTTGCCAAGTCATATAATCAACGTGTTCAGTTGCGCCGCTACACACCAGGAGAGTTGGTCCTGAAGAAAGTACTTCCAGTTGCCAAGAAGTCGGCTGATGGAAAATTGGGTCCTAACTGGGATGGCCCCTATCAGATTGATTCAATCGCAGAAGTAAGGGCATATCGGCTCAAAGACATGTTAGGGAGAAGTCTGCCACGACCTTGGAATTCGATGCATTTATGCAAATTTTATCATTGACCCGACTTGTGGAGCATAATACTTGTTCTGAATGGTTCGCCATGTACATCTCATTTTCTGTAATGCAAAGATCCCTATTTATTCTTAACATCCAATTCAAAGGTGTTCCGAAAAAGCCTCCGGATTCGGAGCGCCCTTCGTGGATATCACGATTGGCCAATTAAAGACTCCGAATTCGGAGCCCCATCGGCGCAAGACGTCTTGAGGCCGAAAAAGCCTCCGGATTCAGAGTGCCTTTCGCGAATATCACGATTGGCCAATTAAAGACTCCAGATTCGGAGCCCCATCGGCGCAAGACGTCTTTGGGCCAAAAAAGCCTCCAGATTCGAAGCGCCCTTCGTAGATATCACGATTGGCCAATTAAAGACTCCGGATTTGGAGCCCCATCGGCTCAGGACATCTTTGGGCCGCAAAAGACTCTGGATTCGGAGTCCCATCGGCGCATGACGTCTTTGGGCCGAAAAAGCCTCCGGATTCAGAGCGCCTTTCGTGGATATCACAATTGGCCAATTAAAAACTCCGGATTCGGAGCCCCATCGGCGCAGGTCGTATTTAGGCCGAAAAAGCCTCCGGATTCGGAGCGCCCTTCGTGGATATCACGATTGGCCAATTAAAGACTCCGGATTTGGAGCCCCATCGACGCACGACATCTTTGGGCTGCAAAAGACTCCAGATTCGGAGCGTCCTTCGTGGATATCACGATTAGCCAATTAAAGATTCCGGATTCGGAGCCCCATCGACGCATGACGTCTCTAAGCCGAAAAAGCTTCCGGATTCGGAGCACCCTTCGTGGATATCATGATTGGCCAATTAAAGACTTCAGATTCGGAGCCCCATCGACGCATGACGTCTCTGGGCCGAAAAAGCCTCCGGATTTGGAACGCCCTTCGTGAATATCACGATTGGCCAATTAAAGACTCCGAATTCGAAACCCCATCGGCGCATGACGTCTGTGGGCCGAAAAAGCCTCCGGATTCGGAGCGCCCTTCGTGGATATCACGATTGGCCAATTAAAGACTTTGGATTCGGAGCCCTATCGGCGCATGACGTCTTTGGGCCGAAAAAGCCTCTGGATTCAGAGCACCCTTCGTGGATATCACGATTGGCTAATTAAAGACTCCGGATTCGGAGCCCCATCAGCACACAACGTCTTTGGGCCGAAAAAACCTCCGGATTCGGAGCGCCCTTCGTGGATATCACGATTGGCCAATTAAAGACTCCGGATTCGAATCCCCATCGGCGCATGACGTCTTTGGGCCGAAAAAGACTCCAGATTTGAAGCCCCATCGGCACATGATGTCTTTGGGCCGAAAAAACATGCAAACACGGTGTGCCAAATAAAAATTACAACGAAACAAAGTTGAAATAGACAATGTACTATTATCCAAATTAAAGCCTCCGTAAACGAAGGCCGAAAAATGCAAATATTCAAATAAGATTATTCAAGCCGCATAAACGTAATCTAAAACGTGCGCATATTCGGAATAAAATGTGTACTAATATAAATAACAAGTATGCTGCAAATTAAGAACTAAGCATTTTATTAAAATCAGCCAATAAATACATAATTTCACTTTCAATCTACGTAATCATTACAAGGTTTTCTTCGGTTCAGCGGCTTCTTCATCATCGCTCTTCTCAATTTCGAAAGCAGATAAGGGGAAATCATTCTGTTGGTACAACGGAAACGCCGAATCCAACCCTGCTGCCTGGAGACTCCCAGCTTGCTGAAGTGCCTTGATCCAACCGTGCCTAAATCCACGATTTTCACATCAGCAAACTTCTTCAGCGAGTTTCTCCTTGGTCTTCTGAATTCCGACCTTTCGGTCGTCGTGGAAGCATTTTTCATAGGCCGCAGCCCTCATAGTCTCGATCGCGAACATGCTGGCCGTGTTCCGATCGGCGATTGCATCACTAATCAGCCTTTGAGTAACCCTCTCTTCCACAATTAGGTTTGGGTGGCTGGCCGATTGAGGCTCGATGGACTTGATTTTCCTGAGCTCACGCTCAGCCTTCTCAATGCGAGCTTCTAACTTCCGAATGCGTTCGTCTCTCTGTTTTATATCGCGACGAGTGGCTCGAAGACGCATGCCGATCTCATAAGCGGTTTACAGTCCCTTCACCGCCCTGTGAACGCCTTCACGAAACACTTCGAAGTCCTGCCGACCTACCATCGATTACTGAACTTCAGGTGGAAAAATCTTTCGAGCGAACTCGACTGCCACATTTGAATCTCGAACGATCGAATCCGCCTCTGTCATTGGTCTATTACCCACGAAGATCGCAAAACTTAATGGGCGAGGAGTCGCGTCTGATTCCCTTCCAAGACGAGGTTAAGGAGACTTGCGCTGTGGCTGCTTGTCCCTCCTGGGCAACCTACTTCGACGACGGGGAGATTGGTGTCTCTCCCGATCCTTCGAAGTCCTACTGCCCGTGCGTGAAGGTTCACCACTTCGATTCATGTTTCCTCCTAGCTCAACTAGCGTCTTCGCTTCGCCTCTATTGTTGAAGAAAAGTCTATTAGACATTCGCACTTGTTTAAGTTTCCACTAAGAACTAGACTGAGTTGCTGTCAAAACACATAAATAAGACCTTCGTTCACGAAGTACACACCCATTTACTCCCTACGAAGGCAGCACTTCCGAGGCAATCTCATTAATATCGAAACCTCAACAGCCCGACGCCGATTGAGTCACGTGCCCCAATCTCCCCCTCTATTATTCGGTGTTTAATGTTCATGAAATAGCTAGGGCAAGGGCAGATTCATCAATCTATTCGGCTCGAGTGCCCCAGCCGTCCCACGAATCGACTCATCAAAACAATATTCATAAGTTCGTATTATTCGGCGTTTAATGTTCATGAAACAGCTGGGGCAAGGGCAGATTCATCAATCTATTCGGCTGGAGTGCCCCAGCCATCCCACGAATCGACTCATTAGAATAATACTCATAAGTTCGTATTATTCGGCGATTAATATTCATGAACCAGCTGGAGCAAGGGCAAATTCATCAATCTATTCGGCTGGAGTGCCCCAGCCGTCCCACGAATCGACTCATCAGAATAATACTCATAAGTTCGTGTTATTCGGCGTCTAATGTTCATAAACCAACTGGGGCAAAGGCAGATTCATCAATCTATTCGACTTGTGTGCCCCAGCCGCCCCATGAACCGATTTACTCATACATTACCCTTGAACTAATCTTATTCGGCACCAAGGGCATAAGACGGCGCCGAATGGATTTACTTATTCGGATTTACACCGTTATCTAATCGGCAACTATGCAATGGGATATTTAATTTATCCAAAGTAGCAAGCACAACATACAGTGATCATTTTACCCAAAGTAGTGAAAAGCAAAAGCAAAACTCTTCGATAATATCAAAAACTGCGTATAATGAATTATGAAATGAAAAGGAAATTTTCGTTAATAAATTAAGCGCAAGTAGTATCTAATTTATACATGAAAATTACCTTGAACTAACAGAAATTTACTAAACAAAAACATACATTGAAATTGAGAAAACCTAACAAAACTAGAATGTCTCCCAAATCAAGTCTCAGGGTCAGACTCAAGCGGCTCAACGTCCACTTGCTCGTATAGAATTGGCGTGGCCAATGTAACTCCAGCGGCAGCAAGGGCCTTGAGCCAGCCATGTTTGAATCCCCGATTCTTGAATTTGGGGACTTCTTCTACATAGTCATTGAGGGCGGAGCTCTTCCCAGCCTCGAACGCCGCCGAAGCCTTAGAGTTGGCTTTCTTCTTAGCCTGCTTCAACTCTCCCAACTCGGCCTCCAGCTTGGCAAGCGCCTCCTTGGCTAACTTAAGCGATTCCTCACTCGCATTTGCCCTCTCTTCAGCATCAGATCTGAGTTGATCAACAGTCCTGGCCCTTTCCTTCTCAATCTCGGCCCGCGCACTTTCCATCGTGGCTCTCATTGCCTCAAACTCCGCCCTGCTCCTTTGACCCTCGACTTCAGATTGCAAACGGCCAATCCTTTCAACAGCGTTATGCTGGCGGCGACCTAATTCGGCGATCCTTCCAACCGTCTGCAAAACAAAGGATCGTCATATGCCAAGAAACATCGAATGCAAAACCAAACCAAAGAGTTAGTCACATACCAGAAGAGCCGACTGGGCGGCTAATGCCATTGTCACCAAATCCAGCTCGGCACAAAAGGTCGCCTTGTCAGCCGGCAAGGAGACCAAGGCAGCCAAGCTCAGTGCCATAGCTGGATCTTTCAAAGCCGACGCTTCGGAGGAGATCGGCATGTTTTTCATCATTGGCTCAATAACGAAAGGAGCAACCACAGCCGAATCCTCTAAGCGTGGCCGTTTTTCAATGGGGCCATCTTCGGAGCTGTCCTCGCTCTCAGCGCTTCGTTTTTCGCCCTGATCCTTCGAAATCGGCCGACCTTCTGTAATCGGGCGCTCAACCTCCTTTTCCGTCTCGGCCACGACAACGTGAGCCGTTTCTTCTACAATAGTAAGGGCAACAGATTCAGTCAGGACAACTCCGGAACGGATGGCTACGGCCTTTTGTCAGGTAGCCATGTGTTCGGCATTTCTTTTTCGTGTCATCTGCATAAGATTTTTCCCAGCCATATCCTCAGAAAAATCGCCAAGAAGGTCTCCCAAGTTTGTAAAAATATCTTTGAAGGCGTCCCCTCGACCTGATGTAGACGGAGGGTCAGAAGAGTTCAATCTAGCTTCCTCGAAGGCCGAATTAATAGCTTCGTCAACTTCAGCGGCCAACCGGTCCAGGTCCTTGGCGATTGGTTCGGCCACTTGTTCTTCCACGTGTTCAGAATCAGATGATTCTAAGCCGATCTGTCTCAAATTTTTTAAGCTGGGGAAGATAAGGGCTGTAAGATGGTTGTCGTCTCGCACGATCGGAATATTGTCTGCCACCGAGAACGTTGTGTAAGTTGGCTCGTACCGCAGGAGAATGTGGGCTGCCCTCCCTTGTTTTTGAAGGTCTGGACGGCCGACGAACTGTAACACTGTTTTAATTTCTGCGAGCACAACGTCGTCGTCTGAAACCAACACTTTCTTCAAGTCACTGCCTGCATAAACAAAACGATTAGATGAGCTCAGTGCCGAATACATACATATGTAAATAACAGAAACAAAGCGATCTGATCGGCCACCTGGTTCGCCTTTTCGCCTTGGCACAGGGTCTAGGCGATCTTCACCTTTGCCAAATTCCCAATTGCAGCGGACAACGACCATCACGTCATCGACACGCTTGCCAGAGCTAGCAAGCATGGTCACTAAGTGATGATCAGTATCCTTGGCTCTAAGAAAGTAACGTCCTAGCCAGCCAGTAGATTTGGCTAGGACATAACAGTACCGAATGCGCGGGAATACCTAAATTAATTCTAAGACGCCGATTTATCTCTACAATCCCCATTATGATGTGAAAGAAGTTCACATTGGGCTGGGAAATGATGAGACCCCAGTACCGAAGAACGACCCTCAAAAGTGGGTGAAGAGGAAAACGAACGCCGCCCTCAGCAATTGATAAGAGAGGAAAGACGATTGTGTTCTCATCTTCCCTCATCATATCAGTGGTGCTGTCTGCCAAAAGTGACAAATGGACGTCGTCGGGGATGGAGAAATGGTGTCGAAAGCCGGAGATTCGATCTGCAGAAAGGAGCTCTTTCAGATGTTTTGCCATTTTGGCCAACCCAAGGATTATGGAAAACTAAAAGCACATAAAGAAGGGGGATCAAAAATGAAGAAGAAGAAAACTTACAGGAGACGAAGGAAAGAGCGAGAAACAAGGGGTTGCAGAAGCCGCCGAATGTAGGAGTTGCACTAGAAGGCGAGCCAGATATCTTTGAGTATTCAGAACATACATTCGAAGAGACAAATTTAAATCGCATTAAATTGAGGCAGTGTACAAAGGGGTAGGAAAGCGTTACAATGACCAAAAAGCATGTACGCGTTTTGACACGCATCGGGAAGAGGAGTAACCGCCGAATTTTTAACCTCCAGACTAGAAGCCAAACACGCCGACTAACTGATGCTAGTGAGGTGTTTGGGGGGCAATTGTGGGAGCCGAATAATCTTGGATCGACAGGAGTGGACCAGTCCGGTCCAGAACATAACCTCTATTCGGCATTGACCCTATTCAATTGAAGGGCCGAATAAAATAGACGACATTCCTACCAACAAGGGCCGTGTAGAAGTACATGTAAAGGACTAGGGTTGGGCCAGGCCCAAGGAGAATACTATAAATACAAGATCTTCAGTTCGAGAAAGGTATGTGAGAACTATTAAGCTTAACTTAAAATACAAGTAACCTTCAGTGCAGAGACTAACTTGCCTGTCGGAGTGCTAATTTTGGCACCTCCGACCAGAGTGTTTGTTCTTTTTCAGGTGACTAGTAGAGGATCACGAGCATCCCCCAGGATCAGAAGAGTATTTCCAAATCACATCCCCACATTAGGAGATAAAATTGAAAACAAAATATCTTTCAAAACAAATAAATAAACTCCTCACCAAAGATTTCATAATGGATGGATCTTTCACTAATAAATCAAATGACTTGGACAATTGCTAGAGTAAACTTTTTAACAATTTTCTCCACCTTAAAATGTTATCAATTATTAATTAGCGCAACACATTGTTGTCCTCCCATAATACCTAATAATTTAGCATTATCTAGTGTTTTGGTTGGGATCAAAACGTGGTGGTTTGGTTATGATGATCAATCTTGTCTCACTGAAATAACCATTTTTAAATGTCTTGGTTGATGTCAGAGTAATTTTTATGTATTGAGAAAAAATATTTTTTAAAATTTACATTAAACAACAAATTTCAATTTTAAATAAAAATAAAGCATGCATGAAGAAGATAATAATGTTGGATAAATTAATAAATTTATTTTTAAAAAATTACTGATTATATTATCGTAACAGATTTCATTTTAAATATTAAATTTCATAATTAACAGTAAAAATTATTAATTTGTATAATATTGTTTAAAAATAAATAAAAGTGAGACTCATTGATTGACGAAGATTTTTCTAGATATTTTTTTCATACATGTTAAAAGAGTAACGTTGCATAAACTAACAAATTTTATAAATATTTTTTAACTCATTTAAGTGATTCTTGTTGTATTATTTAAGATAATTACGTTTTCAATTTCAAAATTTCAACCTTGTGTAGCACATCATGTGAAAAAATATTTTTTAAAAAATATAAAAGGATAAATTACACTCACTTTCTCTAAAATTTAAAGAAAATATAATTAGTCTCACATTTTTAGCATAATTACACCAGTCTCTCTTACGATTTTAATTCACATAATACTTGTGTTCTTTTTTTATTAGTAATTCGTTAGGAAAATGGCTCATACACCCACTGGGGGTCGACCCCCAGTGAGGTGGCAGTCCATAATTGGAGGACCCAAAAAAAACTGTTTTCTTTTTTTTTTTTTTTTTTTTTGGGTTTCGGCCAGTGGGGGCGCGACACCTCACTAGGGGTGCGACCCCCACTGTGGGTATGCAGCAGGATTGAATTCGTTAATTGTATGGATAAAAAGATAATGTTGTCATATGTTTTCTACTAAAATCTATATTTATTTATTTATATTTAAGTATTCACCCATCGTCTGCATTAATTTTAATCACTTCAATCTTACTGGAAAAACGATTAATGTAATTATGTTAAATTTATATGATTAATTATATTTTTTATCGTACCTAAAAAAGGTGAGGATAATTCATTCAAAATAAAATTATGAATATATGTAGAATTTTGTTAGGTTGTTGTGAGTGACTTAGAGAATGCAAAGCTTGGAAGGGGCCAACAAAGCTTGGATTTATGCAAAATTTATGTAGAATTTTGTTAGTTGTCGCTTCAAAAAAGAAGGGGCCAACAAAGCTTGGATTTATTCAAAGAAATAAATGTAGCCCTCCTTTGGCAACTTGGCTGGTTGGGTTTAGGACTATTTTAATAAGATAAAATATTATATTTAATTAATAATTATTACTTTTTTTTCTCATAAAAAGTTAATAAAGTTAAAAAATTTATTCTAAATAAAATTTTTTAATTTCAAATTAAAAAAGTTAAAAGGTCAAAAAATCAATCCACTTCTTAAATGAACTCATAATAATGATGCCATTTTAGGGCCAAATTTAGAACATGATACTGATTGGGCTCCAAAAACCTCCTCAAAAATTAAAATATCTAACTCTTGAGGCTGCCAAACTAAAGTTTAACCCAATTTGAAGATAAAGTACGTATTAAGAGTGCTCTCTTTATTTTGTATAATTAGTTTAATTAGTATGCATTTTAATAATATTCTTTATTTAGTTAATGGATCAAATTAATTTAACTAATTTTTTTTTAAAAAAAATTCTTATAAACCTAAATAAAAAATGTAATTTTTTTTATGATATGATGTCTATGCACATAGTGTTGATGTGGTTGATGATGTAGCATTTGTAAATATTTATTTTTTAAAAATATATTATTAAATTATTTTTCAAAATAATATTTTTATACGAAAGAGAAACAAAGAGAAAGAATAGAGAAATAGAGGCATACATGTGATCAATAGACTGGAACAGCGAAGCAACATAGAAGAGATGGAGACCTAAACAGTGGCGAGGAGACTCTTTACCTAATAATAAACGTTAGTTACTTGTGAAGAGCCAAAATAAAAATTGATAAAATGTCTCTTGTAATATAGAGTAAAATGGCTAATACAACTATTTTGCTTCATTTCTTGGAGTTGTTCTAATATGTTATAATTGTATTATCATAAAAATAAAGTTTCAAAAGTTGCGTAATGGTTTCACTAGTACTGTTAGGGGAGATGTTTGATTGGATAGACTAGATAAGGAGAGATTAAAATCTATCGGACTTGTCCCTAGACTATTTGGTTGGATTAGATATGTATCGCTGTTTATTTTCTCGTGAGATTAAATGTCTAGAAATGACTATTTTTAGTTAATCCAATATTTAGTTGGACGGACTGGATAAGAATAAATGATCAAAAGACTATTTTATCCTTTTTTAATTGTTTACTAAGTAATAGCAATATTAAATTTGTCTTTAAACTTAATCTTTATTTATAATTGATTAGTGGATAACAATTAATTGTTTAATTTTTTCAATGTTTCAAACAAATATTTTTTCAATAGTTATATTTTTTGATGGTCACATTCTTTCAATTTAAATAAGACCATTTCCCTTCTTATTTTCATCCAACACAAAAAAAATTATTTTATTTTTTTTCAATCAGTAAAGAGCACACACCCAAAAATCAAAAGAACAAAAAACAAAAGTGGAAGAGATTTCAACAAAAAGCACCCACATATTAAAAGCAACATACCAACTATTTTTCAAGGCTACCCAGAAAAAAAAAAAAAAAGCATCACACCACAAACAACCATCAGCAACAGCATCTATTAAAAAGAAACAGCCAGCTATGTTTTTTCAAGGCTCAAAATAAATAAATAAATAAATAAAAATACAGACACAATACCCACCAACAACAGAGGAAGCAAATGATATATGATAAGGGTAAAATAGACTTTTTACAGTTTAATCCCATGAGATTGTTATCTCATGAAAATTGTCCCACACCCCCTCCCTTCCCGAACAATGTAATCCTACATATGGGAGAATAAGGAGTCTAGCAAAACTTTATGTCCGGTGGACTAAAATAAACAAAGGCCAAATAGGGAGCTTCTAATGAATTTCAATCTAATCCCACACCTTAATCCTTCCAATCAAATATCTCCTTACGGGTGGACAAATACTAGGTTGAGATTGCACATATATTGTCATCCCAAGTTCATTTTGGTGCAACTCGACATTTGATCTAATCTAACTATCCCAAACTTAACCTTAAAACAACTTTTAAATTTCAACAGGCAACTAACCCAATAAAAATGGACGATTATTATTGTTATTATTATTATTTTGTCTTGAAGAATTATTAAATTATTTAAATTCTTTTAATAATTATTTGAATTTGAAATATTAAAGGGTGAATTATACTAACAATCTCTATAATTTAGAGATTGTCACTTTGACCTCCGACCTTTTAATTGTGATACATTTAATCTTAATTTTTAAATCTCATTCCAAATAAAGACAATTGAAAACATTGTTGTTTCATTTGAAGGATAAAGTTGTCATACAACTTATTTTGTGTTGGTTAACTTATTTGTTGTTTGAAATATAATAGCTTTTTTTTTAATGAATAATGTTGGAACTTTTTTGTTTTAAAGTTCTATTTGGTTTAGTTTTCATAATCTATTTTCAATTTTTTTTTTCTACGAAACTTAAAATTAAATTGGTGAAAAAAAAATATTAAAAACACATTATTTTTATATAATTTTATCTTTTGGGATGGCAAAAATAATTTTTTTTGATATTTAAGTTTGTTAAATTAATTTTTATTTTTTCAAAAACCAAACATAGCGACAACTTTAATGTCATTATTAAACCAATTTATTAAATCAAAAAATTCAAATTAAAAACATTTCATATATTAAACATATTGATTATACATTAAAAACCTAATAACCACTCATTACATGATAACCTTCAAAAATATCTGTTAACAACAAATACAATCATCTATTACATAATAACCATCTAAAACTATCAACAAAAGCAACATCTTATTACATGATCATCATCCAAACACAC